TTATATATGATATTTTATTTGATAAAGAAACGTGACTGGTCTCAAGCCATAGGCAGGCAGAGTGCTATATGCGACTGGCATCGACTCTGGCACCCAATGCAAGCTTGCACAAGCTGCTGCTAATCGAGGCTTTCTAGCCTTCTTTCCAGCGGCAAAATTTCATTTAGTCCTTTTGGATGCCTCTGGAATCCTCTTGATCGAGTCGCGCCGGTCATATGGAGGAACTCAGAAAGCCCAAAACGGGAAATAAGAACAGAAAGAGAGACGGCTGTGTAGGAGGCTAGTGACTTGTCATAAGTGCACTCTAAGTGCCACGAAGAAAGACATTCATATACTACAACTAAAAGAAGGACTTGACAAATTAGTGCCATTAATGTTCACTTTTATGTCTTTAAAAGATATAACAATTTTTATAACAAAGAGAACGCGCATTGTATTCTGGTAGTTGTAGTAAAAAATGACGCTATCAATGGCTTAAGTATTGTTCACGCCTTATGCCCGAGCATATGCCGGGCTTGAGCCTCGGAATATGTATGTGTCATATGGTCAAGACGGCAAGACGGTTTCACACAGGAACTCTGTAACGATGCAGAGCTCTTAGAGCGGATTTCGTATGAGTGGGACACCGTTACCGCACAGTTACCGGACCTGGCCTTCACAATTTTGGTGAACCAATGGGGCAGTAGAATTTGGTTACAGTACGATTACGGTTACAGTACAGTACCGTCCGTTTCCCACTCATACGAAATCCGCTCTATTTACAACTAAAGGTCTAGAAGTTGTATTTGGGTACTGACCGCGCAGTGAAAATGTGCTTGGCCAACAGAAAAATGCAATGTTGACACGATGTGTCATGATCTTAGCATCACGCTTTCCACCGGCCCGGCACAAAGTATGCCGGAACAGTACCTAAGTTGAAAGAAACTGAGAATATTATATTTGGTTCAAAACGCAATTCAGTATTTATCTTACAGAATCTCTTAGACTTGCTGCGTAACAAATTACTTCAGTTAATGGAGCTTTTATATAAATCATTAATTTTTCTATTTGTTTTTAATTTCATTTTTTCTATTTGTTTTTAATTGATTTTTTTGTAAAAAAAATATTATATTTATCACCAAATTATTGGTGGATTTCTTCTTCATCATCATCTTCACGATCTTTTTCATTTTCTTCTTCTTCTTCTGAAAAAAAAATATTATATTTATCACCAAATTATTGGTGGATTTCTTCTTCATCATCATCTTCACGATCTTTTTCATTTTCTTCTTCTTCTTCTGACTCACTGTTTTTGTTTTTTGTTTTTGTATTACTACTATGTCGTTTCGATGGACGCCATTATTCTGATCGTCTTCATCAGGTTACGACGTAGTATAACTTTAATACCAATAACAGTGAGTAAGATAGCTCGATTATACAACATAACTATTCCTGAACATAAAATCGGCTGAAACTTAGCCAGGGGAAGGTTGTATACACTATAACAGGAAGGGAGAGTTTTGTGTGATTTCGTTGAAATCTGACGTGAGAAGCTCACGATTGAATAAGATTATACAAAATCGTGGGGTGATTATATAAGTAAGAGAGCCTGCGCTCCCTGTGGTTCTATGTGATCATTACTAAAAGCAACAAAAACCTGGCAATCATTCAATCAATCATTCAAACACTCAACTAATTGATAAATCAATGAAGTAATCAATCATTCAATCAACTCAATCATTCAGTAGGTAAATAMGCTAATTAAATTAATCAAATAAATCAAAAAGGAAACCAAAAGGAAGTCAAAGCGCCTCGGGGCAAGTGCTTTGCAAACGCAGAACCTTCCTCCCCCCTCCCCCCCCTTTTTCTGTAAAGACTGACAGTTCACTGTGGAAATTTAACCAGCTAACCAGCTATAGAATTTTGGGGTGCGTTAAAAAAACAATGAAAGCAAAAAGCCAAAATGAAACGGAAAGCCACATTGTTCGTAAGAAACTTCCTTTCGAATGACGGGGTTCCTGTGCCTCTGATACTCGTCACCACTCTTCCAGTTTGCTCGTCATCCGGGATCTCAATGATAATGTGGACGACAAAATGAACTAACAAACTTCATGTTTTTGTCGGCGAGAAAAAGCTCAAGGTTTTGAGACATTCTGTTGAAATATGGACCAGATACTAAAGGGAATAGTTGCGTCGGACCATCCCGAATCCGTCAAAAAATCATTAATTCAACAGCTTGTTTCTAAGGCAGCCAACGAAATCCCGGAAGAACAATGTGTGTCTATTTTCGAGATGAGCTCACTATGGATGTCTGATGGAAATTCAGAGTTTCTCAGTGACAGCGGAAAACTTGTTCTCTCTTCTTGGGGAAAACACCATAGAGNGGGTCCTCTACAGACTACAGGAAACATTTGTTTTTCTGAAATTTTCACAGGTTTGTGAGATAAGATTCAATGTTATACTCGTATCCTTAGATCGCTAACGCTTTCCTCGCCCGTTTGATGGGCATCGGCTTTGACCATAATCTTGACGTCAATTTCCTCATCATTTTCTCCACTAATCGTTGATTTSTCATTATTATTGTGGTATTCAATTGTAGAGAACAGCTTTTCCACCCACCAAGTTTCTCCAAGTTGCACGTCCMCCTTGGTTTTCTCCAGGCACTCAGCAAGACTGCTCGGAGTTTCTCAAATACCTCCTGGATAAGCTAGAAGAAGAAGACCGRGCATTGTCAAACCTTGAYGAGTTAAAAGAAAAGCTGCCACGATACCATCATGAAAATAATGTCATTTCGGACACGTTTGAAGGAAAGTTAGTAGTGTGCCATCGTTGTCGTCGTTGCAACTACGTTTCRTGTCAAGAAGAAGTGTTCACGGATTTACCCCTTGCTTTCCCACAAAGCTGTGCGGGCGTTGAACGGGAAGCCACAGGGAAACCATCAACGACACAAGCTATTGAGAACTCTGATAACCCGCCAGCTACTGAAAGGAGCTTAAAGGGTGGAGACGTTGGCCAACGCCCTACTGTTTCAAGTATCGCGTCTTCGCCTCAGGGAGAGARCGTGACAARTACCGAGCCAGAGGCGAGTTCGTCAGCTAGTAATTACCCAGTATCTACAGGAAATAGTACTTTGCAAGGAAAGCTATCGAACATTGGCATTGGCGCCGACGACCCGAGTATTTCTTTAGAAGAAATGCTGGGTTATTTCTTTGAACCAGAAATTCTTGAAGGGTCCAACCAGTACTTCTGCGAACAGTGCCAGAGCTTGCAAGACGCAGAGCGCAGTGTTGTGATATCAAAAGCTCCTAACTTTCTTGTCCTTACACTGAAGCGATTTTCATACAACGTTCAAACACAACGAAGGTCTAAGATATTACAAAACGTTACTTACCCYTTGAGACTTAAACTTTCAAATGTTCGAATAAAGGAACAACCGAAAAAACGCGAAGTAAGATTTGAGAGTAATGAAGGGTCATCTTTGTCTGAAGAGCGTCAAACGACCACTGAGGAACGAGAAAGAATCGACGCACCACCATCMAAGTGTACGAAACAGGATACGGAAAGTACTTCCCAAGGTGCTCACTACAGCCCTACAAGCTCTTCTCCGATCAGAAAAAATCCGAGTTCTTATGTCATTGATAGATTTCCGWCAGAAATTATGTATGCGTTGACCTCGGTTGTRGTTCATTCTGGGGTGTCATCCGAGAGCGGTCACTATTAYTGCTACGCAAGACCATCGCGTCTTGTCGACCAGGATGAAGCAACARCAGGCGGAAACACTAAGACACAGGCAAACAGGGATCAATCATGGTGTCTGTTCAATGAYAGTCGAGTGTCGTACGCTAGCTATGAATCATTTACGGACATTGCAAAAAGATTCCCAAAGGACACGCCTTATGTTTTGATCTATAAGAATCTTAGTTCTACGAATGACGTGGTTCGTAGTGGAGATCCTGATGAAGAGATAACTCAAACCTTCATGGATGCTGTGAATTACGATAACATTCAGTATCTTAAGGTAATTGGTTACATTATTTGAAACATTTCTGACCGATAACATATACCTTTCGGTTTATCATATAATTCTCTCTTTCGAAAAGTTCTTATTTTCACTAACGAATATAAAACATTCGAGGTTTTTTTTATATTTGGAAGCAAAAAAAGGTATTTACGACATGATTTGCTTTCACAATATATCATTATATGATAAACAAAATATTACATGGTAGCTTGGAGATACCAATTTTATCTTCTCCGACAACGGCGTGTTGAAAATCTCTCACTGCGGCTGAGGAATGATGAATTCAGGAATTTGGGACACTTCCTGAATATAAAAAATATCAAAATTAGGCCATTCGCTTATCCTTTTTGTGGTTACTCCCGTCCTTAGCAGGCATGAAAGGAGGTATATAATTCTAGATTATTGGCTGATTTATGCAGAAATTTTGYATTTTTCTGTCTTTTGGCCATACTTAGCAGCTCTAGTTACAACGGTCGAATCGCGTTCTGGGAAGTGAATTGATATGAAATGTCAATTCAGCTAATGTTTACCCTCTTGTTTTCTTTTTAACATAGGAAATCGAGCAAGAGTCGCGCATGGCAAATAGACCTAAACTGGCTCCTTTGCATCASGGACCACGTGACGACGAAGATGACAGTGGGCCTTCTGGGAGCTGTGGATCCGGGCCTGGATTTTCCACGCCCTCTAATCGATTTATTTTTTGAAGTGAATTTTTTGAAGTGAAGGGACACTCTTATTTARAAATCAGTTCTCTTCTAAATATTTGCACAGTGCTTGGCAGTAATTAGTAAGAAKAAATGTGTTGTTACACTGCAGTAATTTCAGCAACTTGTCTTAAAACGTCGTTGTGTGATAAGCTGGTGGAAGAATTGCACAGTGCAACAAGAGTCGTTTCGCACCTTTTYTTGTTGCGTGTTTGCACGAAGCAAAACTCAGGGCTACTTGCAACGGCATTGATCACTTCTACAGTAACGTTTCTCTCACATTTTGAGTCACGTACGTTGATTGAGCATGCGTAGTTCTCGTTTCGAATGTCCGCCATCTTCTTGCTATCAGCTTACGAGAAAGTCGTACGACCTCCACATATGGTTGAGCATGTGCACGATGAAAACATAGAAGGTTCTCATGTCGGTATTGTATGAAAAAAGAAATTRAATTAAGGCTTAAAATTACATGAAAAATATTTTTTTTAAGGACGAGAATAAAGATTGTACCCAGCGCTATACACATGCATTGCCTGATCCCATATTTCCCCCTAAGAGTAACCATTGAGCCACGAGTTCAATTCCTTTRATTTAACCTGAATTTTTGTGATATTTTTGCAACGGTATTCATGAATAACCTGTAGGTGCATAAGATATATAGAATATCTAATTAATAATGAACATCCTAGTACATCGGTGCCATGTATATGGACATTCATATATGGAAGTCGTACGTCAGATTCCCCAGATTACCTCGGCCAAAAATATTGCAAAAAATTTCACAGTGTAACGGTATAACGCTATAATTTCCWGCGCAACTTGTATCGCAACGACGTTGTAAGACAGTGTAATTATACCTTTAAGTGGGAGTAATATTCCGTTAGGTTGTAACAGAAATATATATTTCCAGGAGAGAAATGCGATAGTTAAAAGTTCATTAAACATAGAGCAGATATTTTGTGTTTTAGTTTCTTGTTATGACTATCCAGTCTCTTGGAAGTTGTTCAAGGAGGGTCTCAACGTATTGCATGAAATATTTAGACCAAGGGTCCTCTCCTTTACAATGCCTGTTAAAGGCCCACTTTCATCCAAGAACCTCTCACATACGAAAATTTGACATCTAGTATTTTGCTAATGTAAGATTTCGTTTTGTTCATGAGAATTATATACTAGTATAATTTACTCGTAAGAGCACAGCAGCATACCCCAAAAAGTAGGAAGCTAAGGGTCGTTTATCTTCAAATCCGTCAGTCGCAGTATYCCGTAGTATTCAGTACATTTTCTAAATTGTTGCAAATCGTTTTTAAAACGCAGCCTTGTGCCACTTGAATTTTTATATAAATTACCAGCAAACTTACCAAAGAAATGACAAGTTTAACTGATATTTTGGCGGATTCACTAGTAGATTTTTATCAAGCAAGCTATGCGTCTAGTTAACATTAAAGGAAGATGTCTTTTTACAGCAGCTTCCAGGTGACCAGGCCTGTAAGAAGCACCAAGAAGGACTGGGCATAGTAAGTCACACCCGAGGAATCTGTAAAGACGAAAAGACATCAGATGCGCAGCAGTCAATGTCAAAACGCACACAACAATTTCTTTTATTTAGTTTACCATGCCTACCT